GATGGCCTCCAACCTAGTAGCTTCTTGTTACTAGTAGCGATGGCCTCCAACCTAGTAGCTTCTTGTTAGTAGCAATGGCCTCCAACCTAATAGCTTCTTGGTACTAGTAGCGATGGCCCCCAACCTAGTAGCTTCTCGTTACTAACTGTACATATAGTGGCGATCAAAGGCATATATACTAAAAAGTAAAAGCTGTTTGTTACTACAGGGGAAACGATTCCCAGTGAAAGCAGCTCCAGGCTTCCAAGCACATGTGCTTTGTGGAAGGCGCAGCAAAAGCGTGGCACGCTGCAGGAGAACCTGTTGACTGTTGCATTGTGGATGCATTGAAGAGATCAAGTGAGATCTGTAATTGATCTACGAACATATTAATGCAAAAGGGCAACATCAAAGAAAGGCCATGGCACTCTACATCCAGTTGTGGTGCATGGCGAAGTGTATTGAATGTTTTAAAGAGCTGGGGCCAGCACTGCTCCATAAGCACGCAGCTCCTCTTCCATGTCCTTGGCGCAAGCACCGCTAGCATCATGATCATAGTGGTGAAACAAAAAGAAGGCAGCAAAAAGCAACAGTGAAGCTTCCGGCAGCGCTGATGCCGTCCTCCTGGCGTACTGCTGACGTTTGTGAAATCATGCTCCAAGTCTTCAGAGCCTGCGAAGACCTGTGAAACCATGATGAAACCATGATGAACCATTCTGAAAAGTACAACAGAGGTTTCAATCTTGCCCTGCTGTGGATCGTGGGCCTGAGAAGGTGTGCAGCTCAGCACTTCCGGTGGCACAGGAGCTGGTAGCTCCATAGCTCCTGTGGAAGATGAAGTGAAGATAGTCACCAGTGAATCTCATGGAATCGAAGAGTCATCGAAAATGAGAAACCTCGTTACTAAGCCCAAACAGCTCCTCCAGAGAAATCCTTCAGTTTCTGTCATGGCACTGAATTTAGGATCTTGTGAAATGATGTTTGTCTTATCCTACAAAGTGGCAGAGTTCATGTTAGGAGACCAAACCAGATTCACGAGGTAAAATCCATGGCCATAAGCCACATAAGCTATGCCAAGCAGTTGGGAGTTGAGAAATGCTCTGCCACGAGCCACACATTGCTGCTGAAGCACGGAAACAGTTCTGACGGAGCACAGAATCTGCCAATTCTGGCTAAGACCTGCCGTCCAAAAATCTCTGCAATCGTGCATCTTTGCCGACTCCACTTCCGAGAGCTCTGGTGCTCAAAATGGCACCCACTGTTGTAAAAAGTGTAGTCACTATGGTCCAAATGATCTGGAGCACTCCTGGCGCAACCGCTTTAGACTGTCAGTATTTCCTTAACTTTGTGCGCGCTGGGAGTGCTCAGAAACCTGACTGCATGGAGTTTGCACTTCTCACAACTCTGTCTCTATTTGCGCATTTGATGGTATGAAAGCTGGGGCACCGGTCACCAGTTGCAGGCTACATCCTTCAATCTAAAAGTCAAAAGCACCAGAGTGCACTAATCATACCTGCGGAGGTTCTTTCCCTGAAGACAAACACCTGAGCCTGAGACTGCCCCTCTCATCCATGCAGTCTGAGTTCCACTCTGAATCCATTCCTATTCAAATGTTACTTTTGCCTGCTTCTTCAGCATTGGCTATAGGTGCGATGAGGAGTTGCATTGCGGCCATCGCAACATGAGGAGTTCCAATCTGCAAACTCTGGAGATCAAGCCATCTGCAAACTCTTGTGTTCACCGTCCTCTCGCGGCGCAAAAGCGTAACCCTTAAAAGAGAACGTACTCTACAGAACGTACTCTAGCTGCAACGCCTGAACTTCGGTCTTAAGTTTGCCCAATGAGCAGAAAATACATATAATCGTGTTTACTGTAATATACTGTAATACATGTTGCAGAACTATGTCCACGGTGTTCGCCTGCAACACAAGTATATAACACCTGGGTCCACTCTTAAACTTGCAATTTGCGTTGAATCCCAGTTCCTAGAAGATCCCAAAAGCAGGTTGGCCTCAATCGAGTCCCTTGCATGGGACAGCAAGAGCATGAAATCCTAGGGGAAGCAACCAACGAGAATACTCGAGGCAGAACACATCTCTGTCGATAATTGTTTTGCAGGACCCGTTGAAAAACAATTGGAACAGGGGTTGCCTCCCCTCCAGATCCCGCAAAGCTTCAAGAATATACACTTTTCTGGCAGCACCAATCGCTGAAAGTGGCCGAGAGTGCTGCTGCTGCGAAGCAATCAAATCCACCCTGTCTGCATCTCAGAAGAGGCCAAAGAACTTGGGCTCCAGCTTGCCCAAGGCTCCCTAAGTGCAAAGTAGGTGTGCTTCGTATCACCTCAAAACTGCTTCGTATCCTTTGCTGGTAAGCACCGCTCGGTTCATATGTGTGCATACTTGCATCATATGTGCAAAAGTCGCCATGTGTCCGAAACCCATGCCTCCCCAAGGCCCAAGCACGCTTTCTGACAAACGATTCCCCCGTTGATCCAGCCTGCAGCGCATCCTCTGATTGCTTTTCCTCCTTCAACTTCTCCTGCGTGGAACGCCCCATGTTGTAAAGGGTAACTTAGATTCCCCAGCTTCGCCAACCCCTGCATGCAAAAACCAATGCATAAGCTGCTAAGCCTATAAGCTAAGACTATGAGCTGTGCAAGATCTAGCAAGTCGAGGAGACCTGACAAGTCGCTAGCTGTTCGTATGTGTGTTCCATTTTGCTCCGCCACTCTTATCTCCCATGCCTCTGCTTTCTGAAGCTGGGAAGAGCTAGAAGCAACCTTGAAACAGCTGCAGGTTGTGCTGGCTCGAATATCTTGGGATGGAGCAGCAAGCTTGTATCAAAACCACGTTTCTTCAACCTGTACCATGTGCACCCAGATGCAGCCTGGAAGAATATTCCGCACCTGTCAGTCAACCTAACTTTGACCTACTGCACGTACCCACACTACATTGAGACACATTCACCCCAGACCTTCCGGCCACGTCTGTCACCATGGAGCTGCCCCTGAATCCCTCTTTCGATACAAGCCCGTTTGATCGGCCTCACTATCGAGCGAATTCTTCTTCTGTTGGGCATCCCTCAATTCCCTGAGCAGAAGCATGATTGGCACCAGTGTCAGGACTCTACAGTAGTAAGTTTCCAAAGATTGCAGGGCGCATACCGTTTGAGAAAACAAGACTTCCTATTTCTGCGATTTACAAAAGTGGTCACTGGCAAAGTGAGAAAAATGTGGACAAAAACCCTGGCTAAAATGTCAAGGTCTAATTTGCAGATCAACCATAAAACACGGCGCTTCAATGCAGTGGTTGGTGCATTCGGTGGCTGTGCGCTGGGCCGTCTGGGAGGTGCAAAGATCCAGACAAACAAATAATGGATCGGTATCAACTCATATCAACTCCCCCAACTGTATGCTAATAGCATCCCTATGAACCCCTATGGATCCTGTTCTTTGGGGCTTTGATCAACAGGTAAGAAGGTGTTCCCCACAGCCAAGAAGATCCTGGCATTTTCTGCCACCTTGGCAGAGTCTCCTCGCTTTCACCCCAGATGCTGGTTCCCGAGGCTGAAAGAATGTTGTAAGATTCTAACATCTCCACAAAGTAGGAGTGAGTGGTAGTGAGAGTGGCAAGAGTCAAGAGTAGTGATGACTTAAGTTTGTTGATGGCCTCCTACAGAGACCATAGCATGTAGAGTTGCAACGCCATGATATTCACTAAACGCTTTCCAACGGCATGCCCAGCGTGCTTCATATATCAACAATGGATTGGTGTTAACTATATATATATATATAAAGACTTGTCAGCATCCTTTTCTAGTTCGCTCTGCAGCAGATTTGTCAAAATAATGGTAAACAATCAGGGAAAAACTACGAAAAAAGGAGACCAGGATGGTTACCCCCCC